CCCCCTACCACCGCTCGCTCGACGAGACGGACTTTGGTTTGGTTCGAGCCTCGTCTAGCTCACTGTAGCCGTTATCTGCTCCACAATAAGTCACCTTGTGTAGCAATTGTCTACGGCTGTGAACACTGACCTAACCCTCTTCCTATATGGATGCATATCCGAGCAACCTTCTAACGGCTCCATGATTTTGAGTAGAACGGGATGCATGGCCTATCCCAAGGGTGTTGCTCAACATCAAGCACTTTGTGCCTTGTTATAACCTATTCAACAGAGTCACAGTTCTGGCTCGAAATTTTTCGAAAACCCCGAAAGGTTCGGGAACGGCATCAAGCTACCCTAGAAGACCCGTCTTCTTGTTTATTGCACGGCTATACCATCTGAGGCAGAATTCATCAAGGAAGAACAAAAATCAGTAAAAGCTTAGAATCCTGGTTGACCTGAAGAAAATGACCTACCCTCACCAAACGAGTGAGATTGCTGTAAAAACGCTAACGGCAGGAACATAACAGCAAACAGTGACGTCAAAGCCATCAGCAACTGAAAATTGGATCATATTTAGCGCTGGAACGAATCAATAAATCAATAGTTGAGCACTTACAATGCTCAACAGATAGGCGTGCAATAAACCCCCATAGAATGTGCCAAATTTCCGCTTTAGAAAGCAGAATACCAGGAATGTTAACGAGAGTACAGTGCAGAACATATGAATTCCGAAGAGAATCGATACGATTACTGAGGGTTCAAGTAGGATACGGTAGAAGATCCTGAAACGAAAAGTAATAACTTGTAATAATAATAATAATAATAATAATAATAATAATAATAATAATAATAATAATAATAATAATAATAATAATAATAATAATAATAATAATAATAATAATAATAATAATAATAATAATAATAATAATAATAATAATAATAATAATAATAATAATAATAATAATAATAATAATAATAATAATAATAATAATAATAATAATAATATAATAATAATAATATAATAATAATAATAATAATAATAATAATAATAATAATAATAATAATAATAATAATAATAATAATAATAATAATAATAATAATAATAATAATAAATAATAATAAAATAATAATAATTTTGACTTGTTTTTGTTTGTTAACTGCTGTTTTTGGCCGCAGTTCGCCTTGCGAATGTTTCACAAGAATGCTGGGTTGTGAACAAAACTTTCGCCCCAGGCGGGACTCGAACCCGCACCTCTTGCTTCCGGCAAGTGCAAGCGAGAGGTGCGGGTTCTAGTCCCGTCTGGGGCGAAAGTTTTGTTCACAACCCAGCATTCTTGTGAAATAATAATAATAATAATAATAATAATAATAATAATAATAATAATAATAATAATAATAATAATAATAATAATAATAATAATAATAATAATAATAATAATAATAATAATAATAATAATAATAATAATAATAATAGTAATGATAATAATTGCAATGTTAATAATTCTGCCTCTAATTCCAGGAGCCTAGCATCAGACCAAACCAATTGGAGAGGTTTGGGTGGTTCAAACCATTCCAGATAAATTTGGGATCAAGCATGAAAACGGCTCTCATATCCATCCCCTCACCCTAGCCTTCTCCCCAATCTAACCCATACAATGGCGTTACTAACCCACCTACCATCTCCAAAAAGCCTGACAACTAGGCTCAAGCCTTTACACGTGTACATAGTATAACTAGACGAGAATACGACTTCTCCTCCAATGTCACGAAACTACATGCGTGACCCCTACCATTGCATTGGTGAGTTTTCTTTCAGCGGCCAGTTGACCTCAAGTCAATAAACACCTGAGAATTGAATCGCAAATTCATAATAGCAGCCATTAGCCTTTCGATGAACGCTACCTCATGGAATACTGGTAATTAGCGTAGGGAGCCTTTGATACCTTTTTTTCACAGAAAGTTCTGTTTCCTCGTTTTGTAGCCATTCCACCTCTTCTCCTTTCTCATTTTCCCCCTTTCCGAATGTTCTTTGTCAATTAACCGTCAAAACATTCAGGAGGTGTTCTCTCGAAAGGTGAATTGCCTTTGTCAGGGCAGGCGCTTTGGGGACATTATTGGGCCATCTGGCAAATGAGATTAGCGAGTGGAGTGATTGGTGGAAGCTGAAAAAACGGCGGAAAGTGGTGGAGGCCCGAAAATATGCGACTTACCCCAAGACAAAACAAAACACCGCCTGTGCTGCCGTACAGACCTGTGTAGCACAACGCAGCGACAGGCCACAAAAAGAGTACTGTTTCTCGATGTGTAGATCAGTTAGCGACATGCTGAAAATCGGATATTAGAGAATTCATTCTGGGCAGGTACTGCTCAGAAGCGCACGAAAATGAATGGCTGAATTTTATTAAAGCGAAAATGGGTACTCTTACATCCCACCATCTCGAAATTGTATTTTTCGTTGAAACTTGGCTAATAGAGGTGGTTCAATGCCCTGATCACGAAAATGACTTTCATTTTCAGCGCTGGCGCCATCTGGCGCCAGTTGGCGCCACCTTGTCCCGACCCTTGTTTTCGTCAAAATTGGTGTAAACTTCAGTGTAGGGGTTATTTGG